ACTTATTAGTCATTATTTTTATTTAATTCCTCGTGTTCATTGGTAATCATTCACTCAAATTATTAATCATTCCCGTCTATGATTGTTTGGCTTTTCACTTAAGTCCCATTTTAACCGCAAATGTCGGTCTCATTATAAACTCTACATTCTACAACCTACTCGAAAACTGATTAGGAATTTCCAACACAACACTTTTGTTGCTACTCTGTTACATATATTCTGTACTTTCCACTATCTTCTATTAAAACCTCCATAACTCGCTTAACACGACGTCTAGATAAACTTTTCGCGTTTTAATTACTACAATTTACCAGCACTGTATCCATGTCTAGTTTTTCAATCTAGTTAATAGCTTTTATAGTATGTCAAATCATACATAATATCTCAAGTGAAATTTCCTAAAGTATTTTTCGCGTTTTCTACTATATCCAATTTTTGTAATCTCTCTTCTACTGCTTTTTTGGGTACCTAAAAAAGTGTAGTAAAAGTATATCTATTTATTATTTTAACTGTACCGAAGCGATTTTATTAAATCGAAAATTGTATTTGTTTCTTATGAATTTTCTGTTGACAGGAATTTTAGTTTTATATTCTTTCTAGTAAAAAATCCTTTCTCGTTCTGTTTAAATTACCATCAATTTGTATTCTTTAAATGACAAGCTTTAAGTTGAAAAATCAATTTTACACACAATAGGTAGTTAAATAATTGATCTTTTTGAACACATTTTTGTTTATGCTATATAAAGATATTAAATAATAATACAATTTTGATATTTTTTAGTATTTTCTAGAGCTTTATGAACTTTTGAACTTAAACGGTAACGTATATTTTTTATTAACCTTTTAAATTAAGGACGATTTGCTAAAAATGTTGAATGGACGATAACCAGTTATGAATAAATAGTTTTAAGATTATGAGTTATTTTTATTTGCGCGTATTACTTAACCGCTCTCCACCTCCCGTTATTGGCCAGTCAACATTTTCAGTAAATTATTCTCAATATAAAAATGTAATTAAAATATATAATAAATGTTACTATTTAAGTTTGAAAAGTTGATAAAGTTCTAGAAAATTTTAAAATAGATAAAAATTGTAATATAATTTAATATTTTAATATAGCATTAACAAAAATGTTTTTAAAAAGAAACACTACAAAATTGCAATTATTTTAAGAATAAACTAGTGTAGGGCGTAAAAAGAATCACTCGGTAAAAAAACGTATATATTTGTACGTTGTTTTTATTAAAAACTTGATGTACGTATTTGACAGCTGAACACGGCTTAGTGGTTATCTTCAAAGTTGTTCACGGTTCTTTGAGTTTAAAATGTCAGTTTTTCAATGAAAATAACATAATTATAAGTTCTGAAAACTTCTGGTTATTTCAAACATAGAAACTTCCCCTTATTTATTACACATTTCTAGACATAGAGGATATGTGTTATTTCCAAAATAAGCGTTACACCTAGAGTAAAATATGTATATGTTATATTTTTATTAATATTTTTTTGTTGATGAAAAGTTATTTTGTTTTTTTTTTTATTCTGGTATGCTACAATAGTTTATAAAATCAGGATTATGCCAGTTTCATTAGGTCACTATACTTAGTGTACTAATACACAAGCTTCGATTAAACAGTTGACTGCGTTTCTGTTTACTTGCCATCTGGTGTTCAAGTTTCTCGAAAACATGGAACCGTTCTAGCTGTTACGGCACGACGTTAGAGATAGCATCAACTTTACTTGTGACCAAAGTCTTGGAACTTGGAATATATTTTCTTTTGTGATTGTGTTTACGGCATAGTTGGGAAACTGAGAAAAAGTTTTCATTTAATGATTTCAAGGTCAGTGCGTTTGTATGCAAAAAAAAAAAAACAAAGGAGTGTCGTACCCCTTCTAGCTAGTATCTAATAGCATAGATACCTTAATAAATGGCATCTAATATACTCTCCAAATCGACTATTGGTAAAAACTGATTGTAGATTCAAATACAAAAAACAACTACTATGAAACTCAAGAACAAAATATAAGATGTACAAATTATAAATTAACTTATGAAAGGTGGAAACACATGAATAGTAATTATAGTATGAGTAAATGTTGCTAATTACGTAACACAATAAAGTAATATTTTGATTTCTAACTATATAAAAAGGGATAGCTAGATAGATTTCTATATGTTAGAAAAAAAATGGCCTATAAAAATGCGCCTATAATTAATTGTAAGGCATCGAATGAGTACTCTCGAATGTTTTTGACGTGTATGTTTAAAGATTAAGCACGAACTATCAGAAAACATGGACATTTGTTGACTATGTCAAAATAGATATTACTTAGGAAACAAATAAATTATAGACACAAGATAACTGCATAAGAACGAACAATGATTGACATATTTATTACGCGAAGTTAACATATTTTTACTAGGGCTTCGGAATTGATTCAATTGGGATTCGTAGTAGTTTTTTTTCATGTTTTTCTCTGTATTATTTTTAAAATTTTAACAATAAACTTTGTATTAATAATTTAATATTAAAAATGTGGGATGATAAGCCAGAGCTATACAGTGTAGGACGGATTGCAGCAGGGTTGTAAAAATTACGTTTTATGTAATTATAGTGGTATATAATACCGTCAAACAATAAAAAAATAAGTTACTCTTTTTCTAAAACGTCAAAAACATTTATTTTAATGAATACTAAAAAAAAATTTGAATTCAATTAAACGCAATGTCGTGAAAAAATGAATAAAACTAATAAATAATATTTTTTTTGTTGAAAAATAGGTTATAGGTGTTGGTGCGGTGGCAATAAAACTGTTATTGAATAAGGCGGATTTCCAATAGTTTCTGGTCTCGCTCACTCTCCAGCTTAAGTTTTAGACCTAGGTAAAATGGAATACTCAACGTATGCAACGCGTACGCAATAATACTATAAAATAATGGGTTGGACCCACATAAATAATAAAATATACAAATAATAAATATTGTAAGTAAAAAACAGAATTAATATTTCTTTATGGGCTAGAAGGAAAATTTAAAGCTCTATGTTTTTATTATCCAATATGAATTTTATTATATACATTCAATGGTGAAATATAATTCCATAATCTAGGATAGTGATATATATATATATATATATATATATATCCATAATTTCATTAGTAAAATTAATATACCTACTACTAGTTTGTTAGTCAACTTAATTGATTAGGTTAGCTCATTGTTTAAGGTTAATATTAATAGGTAGTGAAATGGATTCCAATTTACATAAAGATCATCTATTCCCTGTTTATTCTTAATTGATTCAAAAAATGTATGCGTTCATTTTCGGTTTCTATTCTTGGGGACGAATAATAAAACACTGTACTAGTACATATTTATACAAGTCATAATTCTAATTTGAACAAGACAAGTAATTTGTATTAAAAAAAGTAGTATATTTTATACTGTTTCTTCGGTCTTGTTCGATCACAAATGTTTTTGGTAATATCTTCTATTTGTTGGAAGGTAAGTTATGTTTATTGGTGCGTATGCAATTCTTAATGACAAACGTATTAATATATATTATTTTTTCGTTATAAAAATAGAAATTTATAATGAGGATATGCCATAACGTTAAACGTCAGTAGACAGTAATGATAACCAACGAGAAAAAAGCCACCACCCAATAACATGGTCGAGCTATTTTACAAATTACAACCGTTCTGGAATCTCGAGCATAAATTTAATAAATTACGTGGTAAATATTTAAAGAAATATTTATGGAAAAAACATTAATCTTAAGATAAAATTATTTTCATTTTTTTTTAAAAAAAAAGGTAACTGATAATATGTTAAAACGAATTTCAGTTTGACTTTATTGAATAGCGCCGGTCTGTCTCAGATTTTGTTAAATATTCATTTTAATTTTAATTAAAATAAAAAGCTAAAAAATAAATCTGGAATTATTTCACGATGAAACAACAACCCTTTTTAAAATAACAAAAACCAAATTGATAAGCTCTATATTTTAGATAAAATATCCATTATTCATTTGTAAAATATTTATCACTAATTAAAGATTGTTATTAGATATTTATTGTTTAAATTCTTTAAGGTGTTAGGAAATAACATTACATTCTATACAAGAGTCTGTATTTATTACTTTTCATAAAATGTCCAAATTTTGGTAGCGTAGACACAAAAACATTGTTATTGAACGTTGAATTTTGACATTTTTTAAAACAGTTGACATTTATTGTTTTTTAGACCCATTTTTCTCCTTTTATTTTAAGAGGTATAATTTTTTTTGTTGTTGGTAGGACCAGATTGTTAATTGGACTGGGTAAAATCGTTTAAACATTTATGTAGTAAAATGTAGTAAAGGATTCAAAGTCGATAGTATAATTTGAGGTAATAGGAAAAGGCATACATTCTTAAGAAGCATGTCAATTAACGTATTTGTACGTAAAATAAATAAAAACCGAAATCCGTTAAATCTTCTGAGACTGTCTTCGATTAGTGATATATCCATAAATATACACGTGTTATACAATTTACCATTTTTCAAATTACACGATGGGCTAACACTAATTTGGGACAAACATTTCAGTCGGACATTGCCGCAGCTTAGCGCCATACCGGTAATTAGTGATTAGTAATTCTGCTATACCGTCCTGGCTTTTTTTTTTTTTTTTGTTGTATTACTGCGAAATTCGGTCATATTTTCCAGGGAATTGAAGCATAAACCATTTTTTTTAATTTTATTAATCCGGACGATCGGTAAAAATATCATACACCGAGCGTGTGTATTTTTCTAGGTTTTTTTTTTCTGAGGTGGTGTTGTGTATATATTTTTTTAATGTTTATACGTATGTGTGTGTGTGTGTGTGTGTGTGTGTGGAGGCAATAAAGTCTGCCACAACGCTGCGCTAACGGTTGGCTCGCCACAGGGGACGGACAGGGTAAAAAGCTCGGCAACCGTTTCTGCCGGCACAGGAATTCCATCCTTCGTGGCCGTCGACCGCGCGCAACGCACGTATCGGTTACTTGGTCCGCTCCGCTGTCGTCGCCGTGCGTGTGATCTCCATACTGTATCCGAGAAGTTTTAATTAAATTGTCTGCATCTATTTTTTCGCCCCCTACGCCACCCCCCCTTTCCCACCCCGACCTCGCCGGTGTGTACTCACGCGGTTCATATACCCGACGCGGCCTTTGGTTCGGGCAATTTTTCAGTTTTTCGTCCGCGAGTGCGCTTTTGTCTCGGTTCGTTCGTTTATATTTTTTGTATTTGTGTGTGTGTGCTATCAAAAATCGGTGGAACATTTTGTACAAATATTGTTTTTTTTTAATTTTTAACCCTACGACTTTTGTAGTGCGTCTCCGACGAAAACGAGGTTAGTGTAAAGATCGGATTATATTTCGTATCGAATAGTATTATAAAAAAAAACAAAGCAATAGCGTTGAGTACGTCTGTCTTTTTTTTAAAATTAAACCCACGCTAACCACGAAACGCGGACGCCCGGTTGCCTACCGACAATTCGATAAATTACACGTTGTTGCTTCGGAATGTTCGATTTAAGATTTTAACAATAGTATCTGTTACAGTATACTTTTAACAACAACAGTTTTTACCTTGGCAATTTTTTATTTTATGTAAAACGTTTTTGAAACTCATCAACTGTTCGTATTTTCATGCATTAATTATGAATATCATGCGTTTGATAGGTTTGAAAACACGGTGACCTTTTGCACGGTCATGGCAGATCGGGCCATTAGTTTCGGATGACATTTTTTAATCGGATTAAGCTATACGTCTCTATTGAGAGAGGTTGTTAACTACAACCATTTTTTTTTGTATTCACAGGAGTGTTAATGTCACACTCTTGTGGCGTACAATCAAGAAATAAAAACATATGAAAATGTATAAAATAAAAACCTTGCTGATTTTTAAACGTAAAACCGAAACAGGTTTAAAAATAGCATAGAGTTGATACATTTTTCAAAAACACAAGGAAACTTAAACAAATTATTATATCACATTTACCGGTATTAAATTACAAATGGTTATGACTTATGGACTATCTTATGTAATTCACGGTTTATCTGACTTACTCGCATTCGGCCTAACGTGTAATAACAAAATTACCACTTTATGTAATTTGTTCGTTGATTAAAAAAAAATGAAAAACTAAAACATACGGACGGTGTTGTCATTGTATTTTTTTTTAACAAAAGAGAACCCTCCAATTAATTATTTTTATGAAAATGCAGTCCACATAACGTTTAATGAATTGTGTCTTTGCAGCAATTGAACGCTGCAATAAACCAACTGTCGTGCATTAGATATTGTACTTGACCAGCTGCGTCGCAGCAATGATACCTCACCCCGAATAATAACATACAGCGACCCTTTCATCATTAGCGGATAATAATAATTATATGAATGCACTACACGAGTATCAAAGGGTACTCCGGCTACAGCGAGGGGGGCCATATTATAATGTAAGAAAATAATAATAGCATAAGGGGTTGTAGAATAACATTGGTGTACGTTACAACTTGAGGGCTGCTTTAAAAAAAAACTACCACCTACATACACATATACATTTCCGTGTCTAGTTATATTGAAAGATATGTAAAAACTGTGGTGCTAATTTAAATTCCATCCTAATTATATATTTATTAGAGTTTATCCATTCGAAAATAGTGAACGCAGTAGGACGTTGTTCATATTATTATACTATGAGGTTTTAGAGAGTTTACAACTGTGTGATGGAAGTGTTGATATTCTTTCATTCCTTATGTCAAGTTTCTCATATTTATTGAAAGTTAAAACGTATAGGATACGGATTTATAACGATAACAAGTATATGACGCTTTGATAATAGTAGCGTTTAAACTTAATGTAGCTCAGCGCCACAATGACGTTGGCTAAGTTGGAAAAAAGTTGTAGTCTAGTCGTGACAGAGTCTTTAATATTATAACTGTCAATTCACTTCGCCGTTATTGTGCTTAATTAGTACTAGTAAATAGTTGTACCCTTAAATCGGCAGTGGAATAATTATAGAGTGAAACATGGCAACTTTTTGTACGATGAGTGATAATAAACTATGGGATCGTCTGCCGAATTAATGGTAGCAACTAGCATAACGGCCGTTACAATATCCCTTCATCACCCTAGTCAGTTGGCTAACGCTTGCAACCCGTTTGTTAGTTTGCTAGCATCCCTTGGTGTACGAATAATCGTAGGCAATAATCATATTTATTAATTTATGTACATACAAATGTACAACCAACTTCGATTATGTGGAATGATACGAATTATAACATTAACAATCACATCATTTCAAACAACTGTGCTAATATCGGTCGATAATCAAACGTATAGTTTATCATTATTGTGTTGGAAAGTAGAAATTTCAAAAGCTACAGTAGCGCTAAATTGATAAATAAATAGTGAAGAAGTACTAAGTGGTAATCACGTTGCTTAGACGTGGCATCCTACGTGTTGCTTACATCTATCTAGTTATAAATAACCATAATATCTTATGTTATTTTCTTATTTTTGTAATTCTAGAACATTCTAATGACTAATTCTACTTATAATCTAAGAACGGTTTTTATGTAAATGGAGATCACACGCGTGGCATATATCAGACACGTATCCATATTTCTCGTTTTTGATATAGATACGATCTAGCACTTTTGTAAGATCCCAAGTATCATTATTTTCATCGGTAAAAACAAAAATATTGTTATTAAATTTAATTTTTCATCTGCTATAAGTATGGCTATTAAAGTTATCTTATTCATTATAAAACAAATGGATACAAAAAACGAGCCTCTGCTGCTTGTGTAGCAAATTCACCCGTTAGGCGTTTATGTAATACTAGTTGCAAAGGGCTTTTATAGCTATTGTAGCATGACGGTTATTCATACCATTACATTTCAATTTACATGACATAAATGTATATAAATAAGCCATTGTCCTTTAAATATTTGGAGTTACGCATACTATTACAGAGTGTGATGAAATAACATCTATAATTTATTAGCTGTTAAATATTTAACTATAAATTTTAACATCATACATAACACAGTAATGTCACAATTTAAAATACAAATTTTTCGGTTTGTGTAGTTTTGTTAGGATCCGAAACAATTAACAAAAGAGCCTAGCGCGAAAACTGTAGCTGATATATGTTATTTTAGTGTTTGGTGAAAAATTCATTACATTACTCAATTTTTTCTTCTTAAACCCGAAGTGACTGTTATAATTAAAATAAACGACAGTTAACTAAAAACGCCATTATTTAAATGCTTTTAAACGAATGCGAAATAAATTATGATGTAATACTTTAAGAATAAATAACATCCAAAACGGCTATAAATTACTTTTTTTGGAAGGTTATAGTTTTCCTCTCTTCGTTATATTTATAGTTTATAGTTCCACGGCTTTCATTCGTATGCGTTAAACAAATGCAAGCTACTAGAAATGAACAAAAAATAGTTTTATTCCGGACGTTGCTATTATAACGTATATATCACTCATGTTGTCAATGCATTACATTGTTATGATAACGATCCGTTAGTGCTAATATTTTATACTCATAACTAAATATTCTAAAAGGCTAACCGATGTAAAATTTAGATTCTGGGTTACAACTTTTATCTTAAATGAGGAGCTGTTTTGGTTTGAAATAATGTTATATGAATCGTCATTATTCTTGGAAATTATTTTTTTAAATTTATCTAATTTTATTACTATCTTTACCATGTTGCTATTTTTATGGAATAATTTTTTAGTGTAGTTTGGTATTATTTGGGTGGATAAAAGCTTCAAAATTGTATTCCACTATTGATATTTGTTTACTTTTAAACCCATAATAGTCATATTACATTCTACACAGCATTATGTTATTAACAAAAAGTATTTTGTCATTAATCTGACAATTATTATTGTATTATATCGATACTAGCTTTAACAAGATACCTAATAGGAAAATTGAAAATATATATGAATGTGATGACCTATTAAGTCATTGTGTTAAACAAAAACTTGGGTTAAAATACTAATTGAAATAACGCTGATTTCGGTACTTGTAACAAATATTCAAAATAAAGGAATTTAACTAACGATTTATATTCAAGTTATAACCATTATACCTAAAAAACGCATTAATAAAAATCTACTATTTTGCGGTTTCCATAAGTGTAATATAATAACTGATTTGTGTTATTTGGTTTTCAGCTTTGAAAAACAAAGAAATATTGGCTTCTGTTGACGTTATATTTTAGTAAAGAGAAAAGTAGTCTAGATTTTAATATTTATAATCTATGTTATGTATAATCTAGTAAAAAAAACATATCATTATCTAACTATATGCGTTGTGTTTAAAATAAACTAAACGCGATTTTAGATCCAAAGAACAGACATAGAACTCATCGTTTGTTTAATTCTCAGTATAATATGTAAGATGAAAGTCGAAGGCTGAAGCTATGAAATATAACTTACGAATAAAGCCCCACTTGAGATGGACGTGAAAAAATGATTTGTTTATACATTGTATTATGCGTTAGTCGTGACAGCTGTTTAAATATTCATAAATTAAAAGTTATTATTTCGATTTTAATGGAAAAGTGTGGGATTTAACCTTAAAAACCATAACAACAATAATAATAATAATTACCATTATTATGGCGTCCACAAAGTAAATCAGGATAATGAATTTTGCGTGTACTCACAAGCGCCACGGGGATTAGATTTTTCATGTTGGTCGAGAGGTGAAAAGTTTTTCAGTTGTCGTTCTGGTCTGAAAGTGATAACAACAGAATCGAGAACTTTTGTCTGTGGTTTATCGCCTTTAATGATATGCACACATAGGTTTTGCGTCGACTACTCTTCTTAGTTGTTTACTAACATACATAAAATATTAACATTATCCGTTTGGGGTTTGTTATCATTTCGGGTTTATGCAACTAATACGGGTATAAAAAAAAAAATAAACTAGGCTTTGTTTCGCTGATTGTATTTGGCCATAAACTGGTCGCGGAGAAATCGCAAAAGACAAAAAAAAAAAATGTACAAAATCCTATCTTTAATGTTGATTTCCAAAGACACACGACTTACATCTCGTGTGTTACGGTCCATTAAAGGGGGCAATTTGTGAAATGGGGGCTATAAACATGGTCTATCCGAATAAATATAAAGAGTGCAAACTGATTTAAGGCCATGCGAACAATTGTTTATATTCATTTCATGACGGGTTTATGGTTAATTAAATCATTTAAAGTTTTTTTTTTATTTGCAAGTGAATGTTAACATTCAGTATTAAGCAATAAACGTTTAACTATGTTATTGTAACATATTATGATTAAAATAAATCACAAGTAT